TTGGGAAATCCAGGTAGACAATTCCAATTATGTCTTCCTTGTCCCTGTGCTTCACTTGTTCAAAGCATTCCAGTAGATTAGTGAGGCATAATGGAAGGCTGTGCTCTGCAGTGTAATGTTTATGCATATAGCCACTCATTTCAGGGTTTTTAAAGATGTGATTCCTATTAACTTGACCCCTAGTGAGTATTAGGTTCATGGTTTTGTGGGTTCCCTTGAATGTCTGTTGGAACCCTTCTCAAACAAACGGTGGAAACCACTTTGTGTTTGCTGTTAAAGCCCTGACTGAGAGGTGTAGGATCAGATACTTCTTGTGACTTGTTCCTGATCATCTTTTGTTCATTGCAAGAATGAACAAGTACAAGACTGACACTTGAACTGAGTCTTTGAATTCCATTTATGGTGTGTGATCATCTGTGGTGGACACAAAGGATTTTTCTGCTGTGTCCTCCACCTCCTCACAGCTCACAGGATGCTCAGTTGCAGCTTTTAGCTCCTGAAATGCTGAAGTAGGTACTGGACAGCAGCTTAGAAGCTCAAAGATCTTGGTTTGCTTTATTGCCCTTAGATAAGGGCAGTAGAAAAGATTAAACTTAAAATATAACTTCCGTTTGCTGATGTTCTGCTGCTACTAAATGGAGAGCTAAAGACAGTGCTTCTGCTGCTCTTTATTACATAATATATAAGAACTCTACTTTCTGTGTTCTTTTAAGGTTCATTTTGATTTGAGTATGATGACCATTACATCATCTCCATGCCAGCTTTACTCAACAAGTTCTTTTTCTGTTCTTATTTTAAGAAGCTTTCTCTCTTAAATAGTTCCTCTTTTGGAATAGAGGCACACCACTAAGATATTTTCTAGCTCTTGTTTTTTCTTGTGATGTTGACATTTTTGCAGTTTATGCCTGTGTGTGGAGGTAGCGGGGAGTTACTCCAGCAGTAAGGTTGAAGTAGATCCAGTGTATTGTTTGAAGGAGTGCCCAGTTGTGAACAAAAGAATCAGACCCTGTAGCATCCTGGTTAGTGAGATTCAGGCACTGAACTAGAAGTTACAAACATAGATTTCCCCTAACAGATTTTCTTTAGTGCATCAGCCTTTGGGCAAAGTGGTTTCTGTTACAAGCACAGATTGTGATAGAACTGCCAGATACTGGCTATTCTCTTGGTAGGGTCTGTTTCTTGTTTTGTATCCTACATTGGGAAGGTTTTTAGTTTTCCCTCTAAGTTTGCTGTCCATCAGCTCTTTCCTTACTTGGCGATACTGCAGTTCCCCTGGGCTTTTTGGATTTTCTGGAGTTTGAGACAGCAAATATCTACATTCTCACTTGACTCTGGTCAAGAGCGAGTCATAATTTTGTGACCTAGTATGAGTCCTTATCAGTTGTGCTCTTTGTGGCTTGGCCCCTAAGGATGGTTCTCAAGCATGTGTTTCTCAACACTTGTACAATTCCCCATGACTTTTTAGCGTAGAGTAAATTACTCTCTTTCGCTTTAAACCCCCAATCCCAAACCTTGCTCCTTGCTGTTCCACAAACCTTTTGTAGGTGGCCACCTCTGTCCCAGCCCTTTGTGTTTTCCAGGCTGTGCTTGTGTCTCTCCTGGTGGCTGGAGGTGACTCAGCTGGGTTTGCAAACATTTTAATCGTAGTAGTAGAATATAGGAACCTAGAAAACGGCCTGGGCATCCTTACGGATTTGTAGTATCTTAGGCACTTGTTTGGAGTTTTCAGCTTTTCCATAAGAATGTACAAACCTGATCAGACAGGGTCTGTGTGCTGTGGCATTTCTTAACCAACAGCAGGTGCTTAGGAAGGGATCTAAATCTAGGGTGAGCATGTCATTCTCCAGAATATTCCTCTCTCCTTCCACAATTTACATTTTTGGGATTTCCTGCTCTGATGGTGGCATGATCTGATAGCATAAAAAGGTGACAGCCACAATCACCTGAGAGGCTGGAACTTAACCACTTAAATACAGCCTCTGTCTCTCTCAATCTGCATAACACTACTTTTTCCATAACGCAGTGTGAGCATCTCTGGATTTTGTATTCAATGACTTGTCATTACTGCAATAATCCTTCTTAATGAAATGTAATCTCAGACTTGTATTTTGTCACAAATGGTCTCTGACTGAGCTTTCCACCTCTTTGTGGAAACTTCCAGATAGGTAAAACTGCACTTAGAATAAAAAAAAAAATACTTGTTCAGTTGGCGGGTATAAATGGCTTTATTTTTGTTTTCTTTTGGGGGAAATACAGATATGTTGTCCCCTTGCTTTTGTACTGCCTTTGTTCTTAAGATTTTTCATCAGGCTTAAATTTTCAGAGCTAGATTATGGCTTTACCATGGAACACCAAAGTATGTGCATAATATTTTGTCTTGTTGAAATATCAGCCCAGATTTTTGTATTTGTAAGTAAAATGGGCTCTTTACTAAACCAGAAACCTTGTTCTCCAGTGGCTTTTTGAGTAGACTAATAAAGACTGAAAAATGTTTTCTCTTTGAGTAAAATAGTTGTTTATGGGTGGGATTCTAATCTGTGGTTGTGTGGTTACCTAGTGACAGGATTAAGATTTGAAGAGGAGACCTTTCAGTTCCTGTTGTCAGGGTGTTGGGAGGTTGTGTACCCAGTGTGAGGGGTGGTGAAGCTGAGGGTTTTGTGCCTCAAAACAAATGGAGGAACCTGAGGTGCTCCCCCATCCCCCAGCATCCTGTTGCCAGCGGTGTCACTTGTCAGGGAGTCTGTTTAACTTACTAACAACTCAGTCATAAAAATGTTGGGGTGATAAGGGCTGTTTACTGATAGGAGTAGTTGTGAGCAGGTGCCTGTTTTCCTTGGGCTCCTTTGTTTCCGTGGTTGTGGCTCTGCAGGAGGGTGGTTAATGACCTCCTTTGCCAGCAGACTGAAGAGATGCAACAGGACTAAAACTGACAGAGGAGCTCCTTGTAGGGCAGGGCTTTGGGTTTGGCTTTGTACCAGCTATTGGTCAGCTAAATTGGGTTTATCCTCCAGTACATGGAGGTGTTGAAACTTCTGTTTCAAGGGCTTGTAGATCTTCAGACTGGTAATAGATAAATAAAATCCTGCAGAAGCCAAGCAGTTGATTAAATTGGTAATGTTGTGTTTGAATGTACACTGAAAACAGCTATTGATTTACAGAGAACAGCAGGTCTTGTGTATAGTTTTTTAAATTTTCACACTAGACAAATGTGCTTCTAGGGAAGAGCTTATAGAAACATGTATAGAAACCTGTAGAACAGTAGATAAAATATGCCCTTTTTGCTCCAGTTGTTGCAATTTCCTGATACAGGGCAGAAGATCTTGGAAGCTGTTGCTGTACATTTTCCTCAGCCTCCATATTTCTGGACTAATAATCCCATGTATATCATGTGAAATAAGTGTGAATAGATTTCTTGTGTCTTCATTAAGAGGCAAGGTTTTCTGTAAAAGCATCGTGTACATCCAGGAGTATGACTGAAGTGCTGTGTATTTAATCCTAGTGGATAAAGCAGAATAATGCAAACTGTTATTAAAAAAGACACTATCTTCTGTAACCTGTGGGTTGCTTCTCTGAAGGCTATCAAATACTAGGCTTGAAAACAAGACCTGCATTTTTTGCTGGAGATTGACAAAGATGCCCAGGTCATGGATGCTGCAAGTCTCAATTCCTGGTCGTCGTTTTTGTCCTCAAGAACTGTCAGGCATCTTATCTTGAGCATAGCTCTGATGTTTTAATAAACTTCAAAATGTGAGATGGCTTAATTTGTATAATTTTAAAAATTCACAGCTTTTAATTAGATTCTTCGTATGAATGTGATGGTAGAGTCAGCCTTCAGGAAATAAATCAGAGTACTTGCTTTATTTAAGTAACAAATTGTAGCTATATTACATTGCTCATGACTTAGCTGGCTGAAATTACTTAATTATGTTTATGGTAATATTAATTGTGTGAACATGGAGTGTTCTAGGGCAGCCCTCAGATTTTTCAGTGAAAGCCGCTCATCATTTTGCAATTGCAGGGTGGTGTTTTCAACAAGTTTTATCAAATCCTTGGTGGGTTTTTTGTTACTTCCTGTGATTTGCAGAAGCAAAATCTGCTGATAAAAATACAGCCACCATAAAATTTTGTCCTTCACATATGGAGACCTGTTGGAGACTGATAACACTGTTCCTGCCGGGGAGGCTACAGTCTCCATTGCTGAAGTAGATTATGCCTGTTTAGGTTGTGATTTTGACATCTGAGGGAAAAAAAAAAAATATAGTTAAGCTTTATTTGTATATTTAACACTGTTCTTCTAATGTTTCCTGAACAATACAAGTGTGGTTAGGTAATGAAAGGGTTATAACCTTCCTTAAGTAGTTCAGTCTTTGCTTCTACTGGAGTGTAGGAAAGCTGCTTTTGGTAATGATTGTTTTATCCTCAGGTTTAGAAATACTTTTCAACAGGCTTAAAGTACAAATATATATTAATTCATGTTTTGTGTGTTACTTTTCAGTGTAAATGGCTGCTTGGCATGGGTACATATGGTTGGTGTGGGTATACTCAGAATGACTTTTATGTTACCACTACAAGCACCAATTTTTTCTTTTGGAGGTTCATCTTGCAGCTTTAACTCACTTTCCTAGTTTTTTTTTCATTTTTTGCCTTTCCAAAGCACTCTGGAGAACACACTCCTGTAGGATTGTGCTGGTAATTTTTATCCACTGTGGAAGAATGTTCTTGCTGCTACATCCTTTTTGTCTGTCTGTTAATAAAAAGCAGACAAACACAAAACCCCAAGCCAAAAATCAGAAGCTAAACTACCTTTAAAGAATTTCTGGAAACCTTGTAAAATGAACAGATGAACATCAGATACTTCGTGTTTGTGCTGATTGATTTGTTTAGAACACTCTAGGGTAAAAGTGAGGAGTAACTAAATGAAAGGAGGAGGGAGCCTAATTTCCAAAGCTCTCAATAATGTACAGCTTGTATTGAATGATTTGAAAGATGCTTCAGATGGGAGTATAATTGCCTGACCTTTTCTTCCTAGAAATGGTTGAATCAATGAAGAAAGTGGCTGGAATGGATGTGGAGTTGACAGTGGAAGAAAGAAATCTGCTTTCTGTTGCATATAAAAACGTGATTGGAGCCAGGAGAGCTTCCTGGAGAATAATCAGCAGCATTGAACAGAAAGAAGAAAACAAAGGTGGAGAAGACAAATTAAAAATGATTCGGGAATATCGGCAAATGGTAAGATGGATTTGGCCTTACAGCAAAATGTCATTTGGTCCTGGTCCCCTTGCCATAAACTGCCCTGGTGTTCCAAATTGCCTGTGCTGTGCTGACCTGGAATAGAGTGACAGCCTTGGAAGGCTGGAGCTCATTCCTTATCTGGAGAATAAATCTCCTGGTGAAGGGGAGAGCTGTGGTGTTTCTGTGTAAACACTCTGAAGGGCAGCAGGCTTAGGAGAGGGAGGGCTTTTCCCTCAGTGCACCAGCAGCTCTTCCAAGCATTTGAACTGCACTGGCACTTCCCTGCTTACCCAGGTGTGAGGCTGCACCTGCTTAGGAGGCCTTATTCCTTCCCCTCCAACCTGACTGAGACCAAGCAACTTATTTTTTTAATTAACCCTTTCCAAGGAGGTGTTTGGTTGCTAAGGTTCCACTTCCTATAAAAGTTTGGATCATACAGTGACACTGTGATTCCAGTTCTCTGTCCTAGAGAGTTCAAAACATTAACATTTGAAATGTCCCTGGGGGAGGTTCTTCAGTGCTCTTCTTTGCTCCTTGTCTTTTGTCATTCCATGTTCCTGGGGATGTCATCCCAGCTGTGAAACTTGCATGTGTAGCAACCTCCAGGACCTTGCTGTTTTCTCTCTCTGGAGAGAGAAGGGAAAAATTGATCCACATAACTTCATGCTGACTTAGTGTGTGCAGCTTTACCTAAAATGGAGAACTTGCAGCAAGCGCTGACTTTCATTGGTAAGGGCTAATGAAGCCTCCAGCTCTTAGTGAGTTGTTGTTCCCCCTGCCCTAAATGATGGTTTAGCACAGAGCAGGCGTGCTCCCGTACTATTTAAATCCCACACATTTCTGCAGAGACTTCATCTCCATTATTTGAGGACAAGTGCCTCCACATGGTTCACATCTCCACTTCCAGAGAAACAGTGGAGTCTGTTATATCACCTGGCACTGATTCATATACCAGCAATGGAAATGATGTTGGCTTGGAAATTTTCTCCCAGGGATGGCTCTGGACTACTTTCTGTTGACTCACAGGGTTTCTTTTGCTCCATGGAATTGTTAAAGTTGTGAGTTTCTAATTTTATGCTGGCATGCTGATGGGATGAGACTCTGCCAGTTACATACAGTCCCAACTTTCCTTGATGGGTGTCTGCAGTCTCCTAAAAGAACACAGAAAACAAGACTACAGCTGTGCAGTGATTAAATCTGTTTTACATTGTGTACTTCCAGGTTCTTTTGCACAGTGTTTTGTTGGTGGTTACCATCCTCTGCCAGAGATCCTCTAATGATGAAAAGACTTCTTCTGGTTTTGAAAGGACTCTAGAAATAGCCTTTATTCTGCATCTCTCTTTGTAAAGGATGTGTGCTATTGTGGATGGACTGGGGTGCAAGATGTGTAAGTTAATAGTGCTTGAGGTGTCTGAAGAGATGGTGAGGCCACATGAAGTCAGTGTCATGCCAATGGTGTTCAGCTGTTAGATGCTGAGAGGGAGCAGCTTTCACAGCTGCACGAGGACGAGCAGTGCTCAGAGCACTGTCACTGACTGATTCCATACTGGAGATGGGGTGGCTGTGGCTGCCCAGCTCCACTGGGAGCTCTACAAGAGGTTCCTGAGCACCATCTGTAGCTGAAAGATAGATCCTGCTCTGTGTGAATGGGTTTGGCAGGATGGCCTGGGAGCAGGAAGGGCCTGAGGAGCGTGGCAAAGCTTTGGATGCTGCTGCTCGCTGTCACTGCTGAACAGTAGCACTCCTCCCCTGTTGTGCTCAGTGCTTCCCTGGAGAAGCAGCTTCCAGCAGAATTCTGGTCATTATGATTCCCTTGTCAACAAATTCTGCCTATTGTAGCATTTTCCAGAATAAGTTCAATGTTGGGAAAACCTTCCTCAGACTTGAAAGGCTCTGAAGGAAGAAAAAGACCCCAACCAGACAAACCTTCTCTCCCAATCCCCAAAACATATCTGGGGACCAACAAGGCCAAGTTCAAAGCACCAGGGAGTTGGAGCATCTCTAAAAGACACATCTCTTACCTACCGCCAGAAGCAGCTGTGACTTTGCTCAGCTGTGGAGTGCTGCTCCCGTAGGAATGGAAAGTTTCTGTAGTAGTTTCTGTGAGAGTAATTCTTTGTTGGGCTTGGTGTATGTCAATATTTACTATCAGTGAGCTCATAGCTTACATGTGGAGTTTTTTTGAGCTAGTGGCCAGCATGACTTGGGGCAGAACTCAAGGGATGGTGGTGGTGGGAGGGCAGGGACGGACTGGCTTTGTCTGAAGTGTGCACTGGACAGTAGTGAGAGATGAAAGACACCAGGCTGTGCTTGTTCCCAAACCACTTCAGCTGAATGGAGCCAAACACATCCATAGCCATGAGGGAAAATGCCACTTACATGCTTCCTTTGTAGACAGATTGCTCTTCTGGCTCCTATGGCCATTTGGATACACAAAAGGCCCTGCTGGCTGCACTTCTCATCAGTGCATCTCACACTGAGGCTTGTGCTTTCATCCTTGGGAGGCTGAAGTGGTGTGTGGCTGCACACGGCAGTTCCCTTCCTTGCAGTCAAACCAAATCCATTCCCACACCATGGCACAGGTACTTCCCCTTCCTGCTCTGGAGATGTGGCACATGGAGTGTGTGTTTCCAGTGCTCTGACTTCCAACCTGGCCTGTATTTTGGGGCAGCTACCAGGCTCTCTTCCATCCCCTTTTCTTAGAAAGTGCTCACTGAGCCACTCTGTCTGGAACAGATGTGTTTTGTTTACGAGCTTTTAGTTTTGTTGTGGGTTTTTTGTTTGCTTGTTTTACTCTTAAATCACCTTGTTTTATATTAAATCTTTTTAAACTAAGCTTGATCAGGACATTTCCATTGCCCCAGACAGCAGCTGATCTCTGAAAACTGTGACTGATCCTTTAAGCAAAGCTGGAAAAGGTCTGTCTGAGATGAAATAGAAGTTTGTACATGTATGGTTATTTAACTAAAGAGGATTAGAAACTGATTTAATTCTTTGCAGTTTTGCTGAAGATCTCTCTGCAAAAGAAGTCATTGAAAAAGAGGATCAAGAGGAAAGACGTTTGCAGGAACTGACTGCTGGCCAAAGGTTTTATAGCTTTTGTAGCCCAAGAATATATGAAGTAGATTCTTCTCAAGTGACCATATTTCAGCACCTTTCTTAAGCATTTGTCACATAATTAAATACAACATCTTAGTCTTCCTGTGAATGTCAGGACATTCTGACATTTGTACATGAAATTTGCTGTTAATTTCTCTAAGGGAACTTTTGCAAATCTCTTACTTCAAATGTATGCTTAATGTCCAGTTTATAATTTATTTTGGACCTGTAATTTTAACACCTTTTGGGTATAACTGCTGTAGTTACAAACCCTGATAGTTTGGGAGCTGTGTGGTGATAAAAGGATTACGTGGCAAGGAAAATGCTTAAAGAAAGAAGGAAAGAAATGCTTGGGTGGGAGGATAGGAGGGGATGATGGACTGAGTGGGGCTGCTCCTGTGATCCAAGACTTGCAGTTCCTGATAGTTTCTTTAATGCCTTTGCTTGAAATCTCTCCTTTATATGAAATTAACTTGAGCCAGAGTTCTCTTCAGCTGTAGCTGTGAAAGTTCCTGTGAAATCATGAAAAAGCAGCAATGGATGTGTGACAGTGTGCATTAAACCAACGACTCCTACTGGAATGACCTGGGAAGCTGAGAGCCAGTCTGGTTTGGGCAATGCTGGTGTCAGAGGAGGGCTTTCAGCTTTTCTGGGTGTGCTCAGTTTCTTGCTTGCAGGTGTGAAACTTCCTGTGGTAAACCCTGACCTCATAGACCTTGCTTTATGTTTGGAACTGGAAAAAGTGAAGCTTCGTGTGACTGTTCTCAGTTCAGACTATTCAAATCCAGTATCTGTTTTTAAATAACACTGTATATACTGTATTTTTGGCCACATATTCAGTGTCAATGTTGATGATTTCTGCTTTTTTGCCGAGTTGCTGCGCTTTGTTTTTCACTTGCTTCTGAAACTTGTTTTCATCTTGTACCTGACCTTTGTTTGTGTGGCACGTCTTGATTCTGTTCTGATACTCCATGATTTTTCTCTTAAGGCTCTATTTTTAGAGCTTTGCCTCCAAGGACTCACTAGAAACTGTTGTGGAGGTGCCATTTAACTCTGGAGTGCAATGGAGTTGAGCTGATTTGTGTTAATTACCTTCAAATAGTCCCCTTTGCTGTTGATACCTTTAGGGCAGCCTTCCAGGATCAAAAATGGAGGGAATTTTGTTCTGCACACCTTGCAGTAATGAATTACATCCTGAGACAAACTTAATGCAATGGTCTAGCAAGATGTCTTCCAAGGAATTCGCAGTTCCACTGTTCAGTTCCACATTTCATCATCCATCAGTCCCTGCCTCTTTTGTGTGCCAGCTAAATGTGCCGAACTGTTCTGCTTAATGCACCTGTGGAGCAGCTGAATTTTATTTATTTTTCTTCTGACCTACCCCTCTTTGGAGTTTCATGATGTTACCTGTATGATATTTGGGTACTTTGGCTCACCTCACCCTCTCTTCTAATTTCTTGTTGTATTTTCATTTTTTTCACTAGGTTGAGACTGAACTGAAGTTAATCTGTTGTGACATTCTGGATGTACTGGACAAACACCTCATTCCAGCAGCTAACACTGGCGAGTCCAAGGTTTTCTATTACAAAATGTAAGTACCTTCTTGAGAGGAAGGGCCTGAAATAGAGACAGAAATTAAGTAGCTGTAATGAGAACTTAGTATACAAAGAGAAGAAAATAAGGTTTGTCCTGTAGTGATGGTTTAAAATTCCCTCAGCTCCTGGTGCAGTGTTGTGTGGACAGTAACAGCAGAATGCTTGGTGTGTGACTGTCTAAACACACTTTAATTTCAACTGTTAATTTAATGGCTGATGGGCAAACAAGAATTATTGACTTGCTACTGTTTCTGTTTTCAGGAAGGGGGACTACCATAGGTATCTGGCTGAGTTTGCCACAGGAAATGACAGGAAGGAGGCTGCAGAGAACAGCTTGGTGGCTTACAAAGCTGCTAGTGATATTGCAATGACAGAACTCCCACCAACACATCCCATCCGCTTAGGACTTGCGCTCAACTTCTCTGTATTCTACTATGAAATTCTTAATTCTCCTGATCGTGCCTGCAGGTAGGTGGTGACTGGCAAAGTGGAAATATGGGAATGTTGTGTGAATACCAGGCAAGCCAGAAGTGTTGTTCCTTGCTTTTCTTGCTTTCTTCCTGCTGGTGTTTGCTCTGGTTGATGACAATTCATTGGGAAGATTTTCAGCATCACCATTTTCTTTGGAGTCTAGAGCCACGTGTTTGTGTGGGAGTAGTGGTGAAATAGAACAGTGATAACCCTGAATTGATGAGCTAATGGCAGTTCAGCAGCTTGCCAGGTTAACTCTGTAAACTGCCCAAGGTGTGAGGTGTGATTTAACTTGTCTAATACAAGCTAGAGGGGATGGTGGCACTGATTTCTGTGAGCATGTACAGAGTGGTAGTGATTGAAGCAAATACCATTCTCTTCTGTTGCTGCAGTTTACACTAAGTTTTTAGCAGCCCTTAATCAAGATGTAGAAATGTTTAAAGAAACAAATATCCTTGAGTAAAACCTTTCTTAAAGCACACAAAGTGACTGGTGTTGTTGTGCTTCTGGATTGTGTTTGGCAGTATTTGTTAAATCTTTGTTGTGTCATTGCAGGTTGGCAAAAGCAGCTTTTGATGATGCTATTGCAGAACTGGATACACTGAGTGAAGAAAGCTATAAGGACTCTACACTTATCATGCAGTTGTTACGTGATAACCTGACACTATGGACTTCAGACATGCAGGGTGATGGTAAGTGGAAAAGCTCATCCTGACCAAGGATGGTGGAGGTGGAGAGACTTTGATGGTTTACTTCTGTCTCTCTGAATAATAACCCTCCTGTCCTGAGCACTGGATCAGGTGATGGGGTGACACTGGACTCTTGAGCAGCCTCTCAGCTCTCACTTGAAGGAAGTAGGTGTGGAATTAGCAAGAGTTGGTTGTTCTTCCCTCCCCATGTGGCTGCTGGGATTACTGTAAAAACAGTGACTTCATTTATTTCATCTTTTCTTTCTGCTTGTCATGCTCATCTCTGGCTGTCATTCCAGCCAGATGTGAACCTCCAGTGCAGGAGGAAGCACTGGAAATGCTTTAGTTCCCCTTCATTCCAGGTCATTCCATATTCTCATTGCCAGAGCAAATGCCAAATGTGTTCCCTGGCAGTACCAGACTGGGACATGAATTGCTTCTGTTCACTAGCAAAGGATAGTCCAAATTTTTGGAGTGGTTTTGGCACACTGAATGGACTTTACCAACACTTAAACTCTCACATACAATGCTTAGTATAAGTCTGTTCATTTTAGGGTTTTTCCTCTTGGAGAGACAAGTGAAAAGAGCTGACTTTCTTTTAACTTGGAGGGGAAGAAATACATCCTATTAAGATTATTTTGGGTACCTACAAATGCCCAGAGCTTAGAAACAACACTGCTGAACCTCACATAAACATGTGAGTGTCTTAAAATTTTTGTAAGCTGTTCCTTGTAGCCACACAACATTCTTGGGGGTACTTCATTGGTGGCGTGTCCATTTGAAAGCAAATGCAGAATCTTTTAACTTTTTCCCAGTTCCATGTTTTTATGTAGGCTCATGGGTTTGTTTTGTTGTTACTCCATAACTTCTCACTCTGCTCTTTGGGCTGCTGAGACTGGGAATGCTGTAAATGTGTGTGGTCATGGCTCCTGGTTTACTCCACATCCCAGTGTTTAAGGCTTTTGCACCTCCCTTTTCAAGGATTATCTCTTGGTGCAGGATGGACCCTGGATGGATCTGTAGACTTTTCTCTAAACAATGCAGTTGCTGAATGCCTTCCTTGCCATGGGTAGGCACTGGAGAAGTTTGTTTCAAATTCCCACAATTTAAATGCAACCTTTACCTTTTTAATTGGAGCCAAATACCCTGGTGCTCTGTGGAAGCCATTTTAGTGGAGTAACAAGGTTGGATCAGTGTGGAATATCTTCCAGTGTCTTCCAAAAGTTCCTGGATTGCCCATGATCCATGTTTCTCGTGGATCTTGGATATTGTAGAAGTTCCACAGAATTATTTACAGGCTCTTTAGATTTTGAAAAAAGAAATAGAGATCTAAATTTCTTGTTCCACAGCATGGAAAATAGGTATTTTGATTCTTCCTGAAGTAGTTCAGATTGTCCTGGTTACTGGTACCAGAAAGATAATGATTACATAATTGAAAATACTGTAGGACTGCTTAAAATCATGGTGAAATTCTTCAGACACAACAGGAAAAAAAAAAGTTTATGTAGGATGTTTAGACACAGGTGCAAAGTTGTTTCCTCATACTTTGCCAATACTCTGAGTGCATTTCCAGCTGATGCTTCCAGAGCTCTGTATTCCCAAGCAAGTGGAGCCTTTGAACAATACATCAATAGTGGCACAATTAGCAATTTCCAAGGGGTGGGGGAGGCTTGGAAAAGGCTTGTTCTTTGGCATTAAGCTTTTCCCTGTTTCCATTTCAGCCGTGTAGGGATGTAAAGCCAGGCATGACCCAGCTGCTGCTCTCCCATCCCAATCCCTGTAGCTTTCCCATGGCCCAGATGAGTGTTGAGTTTATTTCCACGCTTGTAATGTCATCTCCATATGATTCCTGTTCTCCCCTTCTTTCCTGCTGTATAGATTCCTAAAGGAAAGTCCAACTGTTCATTTCCTAAAAACTCTACTTTGTAAGTCTCTTGTCATGGCTCACTGGAGTTTTCAGTTTTCAGTGTCAGTTTTCCTGTCACTAACAGTGCCTGCCTCTGTCACCCGCTGCTGACAAACGCTTGTGTCCCTGCTGCCACTCCTGTGGCACCTGTCCCCCTGCCCAGGGATGATGTGCTTGACTAAGATCCAGAGTAACTCACATGTTTGGGAATTGAGCTGCAAACCTGGATGGATGGATAGAAGAATATTTGGGCATGGGAAGTACTTCACAGTGGCCTGGTAGAGGAGTATTTGCTGAAGTGTGTTGGTTAGAGCATGTTCACATCATCTAATCTGGGTTAGGGCCTCTGCTTTCCTCTCTTAAATGATGTGATGTAGAATTCTATCTATAAACTTCATTGTTGTTGAATGTCTAATGCTCCTAGGCCCCCTTTTATAAAATCTACTTCCTGTTGTACCTGGTGGTAATCCTAAATCTGGACATGCTCTGAGCAAACATTCTGGTTATCTGCTGGAAGTTATCCGTCTCATTTGATTGGGTTTTATTGCAAATTAAGTTTTTAATTACTAGTGTCTATTTATTGCCCTTAAGAGAGTCTCATCTTATGTGGTTACAGATAATTGCAGGCATTTTTTCAGCTTCACTTATCAATTAAGTGACTTGTGCATGTGTGGTGGCACTAGCTGGGGTACCTGGAATTTGCCAGTTGCAGCAGAATTTTGGCAAAGCCCTGCAGAAGGTTTTGCATGAGGTTCCCAGGGGCAGCTGGAACGTAACCAAACTGCAGGAGTCTCATGGACAGACCCCATTCCACTGCATGGTTGAACAGAGTCATTAATTTCCACAAGATGTTTTCCTATAATAACCTCAAGCCCAGGGTTTCTTGTCAGGTTGGACTTGCAGTAGGGTGTTTATCATATCTTTGGTAATTCCTGCCATCAATGTAACTGTATAAAATTGCCTGAAGTACTTTGCTGTTGAGATTTGAGTGGGCTTGGACATAAAAAGATAAATGGTTTGGGGAAGGGATCTCCTGTTCCAAGGATGTTGATCCACAGCTGTTGCCATGGTTTCTGCCTGGGCTGTCCAGCCCTGGCTCAGCAGCACTGTTCACCTGCGTGGTGTCAGTTTTCAGGGCTGGGTTTGTTTGTCCTCACATGTTCTAATGGCCTGGCTGCAGTTGTGTGTGAGGGTGCAGGTGATTCCAAGGCTTAATTTCCATGGGAACGCTTCACTCTGGAGCTGGCAGTGTGGAGTGGGAGAGTGAGCGTGTATTGCATGAAAATATTAATCTCTAGATGCTTGTTAAACTGTTCAGCAGCTCTCAGTTTTAAATGGTAACATTTTCCTTCCTTCTTCCCACTTCCACAGGTGAAGAACAGAATAAAGAAGCATTGCAGGATGTGGAAGATGAAAACCAGTGAGACACAAAGGCCAACAAGAGAACCCATCTCTGACCACCCTTCCCCTTCCCCACAAAAACCCTCAGTGTCACTCTGAGAACCACCAAATCTGACTTTTACATTGGGTCTCAGAATTTAGGTTCCTGCCCTGTTGGGTTTCTTTATTTTTATTTTTTTTACACAGTTTAAAAGTTCTTAAAGGCAAGAGTGAATTTCTGTGGATTTTACTGGTGCCAGCTTTTAGGTTCTTTAAGACACTAACAGGACTGCATAAAGGCTCTTTCAGCATTACTGTATTGTCTCTGCCAGCTGTGGTGACATTGCCATCAGACCTGGATGTGACACCTGAAGGCCGTGTAGGGAGAGATTGGTCCTGGCCAGGTAGTGCTTATGTGGTGGCATCTTTCTTTTTTTTATAACTGTTTAAACTGAATTTTATACCAATGTTTCAACTTAATTGGGTGTTTAGCTTGAAGTTACGAGGTTGCATTTGGGACATTTATTGTAGTGGTTTTACTGTATAAAAACAAAAAGTTTCCAAACTGCTGAAATGTTGCTGAAAATCATGGTGCTGGTAACAGTTCAACAATCCGTGGCTGCTCATTCTTGCCTGTTCTTTACTTTCCCTCCAAGCAGGTTAGCATTGAAGGTGGCATTGATAAGCCTGCATGCGTGTTCAATATTTTTTCTTTTCTCCCTCCCCTCTCCCCATCTCCCTTCGCTCGCTCAACCTCTTTTGTTCAGTATGTGTAACTTGAAGCTAATTTGTACTACTGGATATCTGACTGGAGCCACAGATACAGAATCTGTATTGTTCTTACTGAAACACAGCATGGAATTAACATTAAACTTAAATAAAACAAACCTAAATTAAAAATGCCAACCATCACTATGAATTTCTTTTGGAAGAATAACTTTCCTTTGTTACTTGTACTAGGAACAGTTGGAGGGGGAGAGAGCAGCAGGAACAGCCTTGTTCTTCAGACAGGAGCTAAGGAAGATTTGGTCTGAGCGTGAGTTGTGCTGCTGGGAGCAGCCTTTTTATCCAGTCTTTCCCTATATAAATGCCTGGGAAATGGTTGAATTCCTCTCATCTGCTGTTCCAGCATTTCTCACCCAGTGCAGGTCCATGGAGGGAGAGAAGGGACACAGGTTATCTGCTCTGCTGGGAATAACCTGTTCCTTGGAAAGGACAGGGCCTGGGGTCAGCCTCCCCCTAAACCACAAAAGGAAACTGCACCAAAGACAAGGAAAGTTGATTTTTTGTAAAAATTTATTCAGCGTAGTCTGGCAGAGGTTAAACACCAACATCTGCAGCGTGCTCTGCACACACTGAGCACATCTGGGGGATGGCCTGCAGTGTATCCCACATTCCAGCCTGGAGCAGGGCTGGACAGGGGCTGGGCTGTGGCACTGTGCCATGGATGCAGCAGGAATTCCCCATGGAGCCGTGCACCCTGCAGCTGTTGCTGTTAAAGGAGGGTGCTGGGGAGGAACCTGTGCTGCAGCCAGCACCCAGCCCCTGGTTCCCTGAAGCTGTGGGGCAGCAGCAGTGCCCAGCCCTCCCTGGTAAGGCAGCACTGAGGCACTGGTATAAATACTGTGAGAATCAGACTTCCAGTTATGGCTAGGAACAAAAGGAAAAGCCATTTTTCCTCAAGGTGCTGCTCAGAGCCTGTGGAGCTGTGTGGGAAAGGGGCAGTGGGGATTCCCAGACAGGGAAAGGCTTGGGGAGAAGTTCATGTACATCCCATGGCCAGCCCAGAGCAGTGGTAACCTCTGCAGTTTGTATTGCATTGTGTTGGTGTGGATATGAAAAATTCCTATGGTATAAAAATAGAGAGCAAGAAATGGGACAGCTGACTTCAAAAAAAGATAAAAGTCTCTGGCTCCTGATCAGTGAAGAAGTTACATGATGGATTTTTCAGGTTATACCTTGTAACCATAAACTAAAAACAACAAAAATTCCAAATCTAAAACAAAAGTTTCCACATCAACTCCATCTCTGGTAGTGCATCTCATCCTTGGCTATAAAGTATTTACAGGTTTTACTCATTTACACAATATGGCTTCACTATATTTGTAACACAAAGCATTAAAACATCTCCGAGCAAAATTCTTCATAAAACATTCTGAATACAAAGTTTGGCATTTCAGTGATTTGGCTGAGAAAGCAGCAGAGTTACTTGTTTTCTGATTGTGCTTTTTTTTTTGGTGATGACAAGCACAAATTTTGGTCATTTCCATCAGGGCTTAAACTCTCCCTCAAAGCAGGTCCTGAGCTGTGGTTGCAGGGATGCTGTGCTGGACCCCCACGTTCAGTCAGGTAAGGAAGAGAGGAGAAGGCCTTTGTTTGGGAGTCTTGAGAGTAAGACAAGAGAGCAAGGATGTATTTTGTGGTTGTTCTGAAAGTGCAGATCTTTGGTAATAAAAGAAAGAGCAAAGCGAGGAAGAGGGGGTTTGCTGGGAGCAACGTTCAGCCAATTCCGTGGAAGGAAAGGTCCTGGAGCAGGGAATTTTTCATCATCGGGAATTCAACCGAGGAGCAACCTGCAGGAGAAGGACAGGTTTGAAAGTGTGTTCAAAATACTGCAAAAGTTTTAATTCCTCAACATGCTGAGGCTGGGCAGAGCCTCTGGTCCTAATGGGAGCTCTCATTGCTGGGAGTCAGTGCAGTCTGGATTTGTTCTGGATTTATTTCTTAGTATTTCTCAATATTTCTGAATAAGTGCATAAAATCAGCTGTGGATTGTCAGGACCACCACAAACAAGCTGAGAAGGGGAAATGATTGTGTTTGAGGTTTTTAAATGTATTTAAAATTTGATTTGCTAGAATCTTGGGGGGTTGGAAATAAAAAGTGAGTGCCAGGACAGTCCCTTGTTGTGTGTGAGGGAGTTTGGCAGCCCCTCAGGGCTGCAGGAGCCCCGTGCTCAGCTCCAACTGGGGGAAAGGCTGGGATAGCAGGGCACTGCCATTGGCAGGAACATCCCATGGCATGTGTCCCATGCTGGAGTGCTGGTTGGGATCCAGGGTAAGTGATCCCCAGCCCACACTCACCACTGTTAGATGCCCATTCTTGGCTTTGGCTATGAGCAGTTCTGATCCCGAGATGAAGTCGATGATCCCTTCTTTGCCTTGTCCCACTGTGAACTTTATGCTGTGGAGAGCAAAGGGTGAGAACAGCCCTGGTGAGTGTGTGGGACTCTCCAGGAGCTGGGTGTTAACAGAGCTGCACCAGATCTGTGCTGGAGCTTTGGTTGAGGTGGATTGGGTACATTTGGATGGGTTAGAGGAAGAAGCAGAGCCAAGGAAGGGCCCTGGTGTCACTCACCTGCCCTGGTTGATGTTGATGTTGTTGATTTTGTTGGCCAGAATGGCTGCTTTTGTCAGCGTCTCAATCACGTGGTCACTCTGCAGGACAACATCTCCCTGGGAGGAGAGTCCATGCTTTAGGATCATGGCTTTGGGGTCACTGTACCAAAACTACCCTGCTGAAAGGGACAGGGACAGCACCAAAGGGGGCCAACAAACACTGCTGATCCCCAGCTAAGAACCCAGGGAAATAGCAATGAAAGAGCTGGCACAAAGTCACATCCCTGTCACCTTGTCACCCTCCTCCCAGCTGCATGTGCTCCCTGGGCCTTTCACCCTTTGTCCAGAGGGGGCTGGAGGAGGGAGGATGAGCCCCTGGTACCTTCTGCTTGTTGTCCTCACAGTGCACGTGCAGCACAAACAAGTTGTCACTGAGGCTGCTGACGGAGATGCCTGGCAGGGAGAGAAGAGTGTCACCCACTGCTGGGAGTTGGGGAGGGCTCACAGCCTCTCCCAGGAATGCAGCAGCTGTTCCCCACACAGCTGCCAGGCTGCAGGGGGCTGAGGGGAGAGGCTTCAGCCCCGGGCTGCAGGGACCATGCTGCAGCAGGCTCGGCAGTTTCCCCCTTGCTAAGAATCTGGTCCCTGTCAGATACTCTGAGGACCAAAAGCTGCAGTAGTGGCCCAGGCAGCTGCTGTGCAGGAATGGTGCAACCCCCCCGGGGCCAGGCCCTGCAACTGGGAAATAACTCAGGGGGAGGGTTGAGGGAGATGAATTGAGTAATTTTGGTGACATTTTACAGAGCTTCAGTTTAGAGAAACGCAATTTCAAGACACTAAAATGCTTGCCAGGATTAGCTTATCTGTTCTTGTCCAGGACACGGACAAATTGGAGTTTGTAGTGGTGCATACTAAAGTGCAGCTGAGGTGCAGGGTCAGGGGAGTGCCCAGCCCCATCCCTGTGCCATTCCCACCTGTCAGGTTGGAGTAGTCGATGCGCTGCTTGATCTTGGACTCCTCCACGATGATTGCCGAGCTCTGGGTGAGCAGCAGCTGCCGTGCCCTTGCCTTGTAGCCCTTCCTGTCGTACTTGACCACAGGCACTGCGTACTGAAACACGAGTGAGCAGGGCCACATCCCAACTGGGACACTGCCAGCCCCCAGCAGGCACCAACCAGGGCTTGGGAAACCAGGAATGCCCAAAATCCTCTGTGCCAGAACTTCTTCGCTGCCCCAGAGCAGCTCTGGACACAGCCTGGGCACCGGGAACCCCAGGTTTCCCCCTTCCCCTGCAGCTGTAACCCATTCAGTTCTTAACAGACATCATTAAACTGCCCAAATCTCCACTTTCTAACCTGCCAGCCCTTCCCAGACTATCCTCAAAAGTATTACAAGCTTAATACAACATAAAATGCCTGCTGTACTTCCTCCAGAAATCTAATTGCCCCTCTGCTGAATACCTGGGGGCTTGACAAAAGTATTGGAACACATCTCTTACCTTAAGTGCTTCATTTGCTAATGCCTGAAGGACTTTAGTATTTATTTCTTCTCTACCTGTATTAAAACCAAAGAGGTGGGGAGGTCAGAAAGGAATTTCCAGTAAGAAAAGAGTTCATTAATCCCTCCCCTTCCTTTTTTCTCTTCAACTTGGCAACCCCCACTCACCCAGTCGAGTGTTGATGAAGAGCCTGGGAACACTCTGAGGATAATTGTCTTTTTTACCCTTGAAAATCTCACTGGCAATTACTTTCTGTTCCAACTGCAAGGACAAAAGAAGTTTTCTTGTTTAGTATAAAATTTCTCCTCATTAAAAAGATACATTGGTGTTAGAAGAGATGTTCCCTTGGTGGTTTTAGTCATCATTTAGTTCCTGTTTGGATGAGGAGTCACCCTAAACTTGCAGTCCCTGGAGGTGGCAGAGCTCCAGCCCCTGGGCTACTTTGCTCCAAGAACAAACCAGGGACTGGGAAAGTGGGAAATCCCCACTGCTGTACGTGGGGCCAAGGCTGTGACACAGGACAGGGCCCCTGGGATGATTTACAAGGGAAAAATGGGGATAAAAGAGGCTCCTTATCAGTGAGTCTGGTTTGCTGGGGGAAAGCAGCTGCTGAGCTGAGTTAATCCCCTGTCCTTAATCACAGGCTCAGCCCCAGCCTTTCACTCCAGGTGTCCCTGCACTGCAGAAGGTGAGAGATCATGCAATAAAAAACCTTGGCAGTTAAAACCAGCATCTCCTCTTTACTGAGCTTTTTTATTTAATACAAAAACTCCCTCCCCCTACTTTTCCATGAGATGAATTAAATCTCAGTATCATTTTTATTCTTTTTAGACTAAAGAATTAGAATTTTATTCTTTTTAGACAGAGCAGCTGAAATTGTAACTTCTGTTTGGAAAATGACTGGGTTTGTGTCTGCAGGATTCTTACTCTCTACTTTACATGGTACAGGCAGAATAATGCAGCTTCTTATATTTTTAGCTTCCATGGGCAGAGTATCAGGGCCTTTCAATGGAGAAATTATGTAGGGGCTTGGCTCCACTGCCTATTTAAATAATACCTATTGAAATATGTA